CTTTTTGTATGGATATTGATTCTTTTGTTTTCTTGAACCCTCAACTATGATTTTTAGTTTAATTTTTACCTTGCCTTAGAATGTATGGAGTATTCACATTAGGATGATGGTTGAATTCAAGTTGAGGAGAGGAATATTTATGTGCTTATGTTGTGTATTACTATGAGGCTGAGAAAGAAAGAAAAAGAAGAAAAAAGAGTGTGAAAAAGAAAGAAAAAAATTTGAAAAAAGCTTTGAAAAAGAAAAGGAAAAAGAGTTTGAAATAATGTTATGTTAATAAGTGATGAGTGTTTGGTGTAACACTTGGGATGAAGAAGTTTGATTGAAATTATATTGTTTGAAACTTTGGTGATATGATCACTCTCTTAGGTTTAGACAAGTTTTTGTTTCGATTAGCCTTAGGAATTATCCCTTGTTTTTTCACCTGACCACGCTACAACCTTGAAAAGCCCTTGAGATTATTGCTTTTATATTTTCAATGTAAATTATTGGATGAATGCATAATTTAGTCTATTGTTTGCAAGATTATTGGATGAGTGAAAATACCCCATTTTTGTGTGTTTTTCATCTATTGATGATTGTGTTTGCTAGGTGTGATTCATTTGTGAACTAGTATTATTTTAGAATGTTTGGCATAATTTTTGTATTTAGCATTTGTTTCATGTTTATGTTATCGTTGTAGTTTAGTAGTAGGTATGTTTCTTTGTGTGTAACTTTTTTCATTTAAACCATTGCATTTGTGTTCCATTTTCAAAACTTGTTGATTCATGATTCTTTATGTTTATTTGTGTTTTTGTGTACATAGCGTATCATTTGATGTTTTTCCATTCATTTTGTAGGTATTTGTTGCATTTTGGAGCACTGAGGAATTAGGTGTCGAAAGCACGACTCCAGATGCGCGTTTAGAATAAAAGACCAATTTTGGGATATTCTATCCAAGAGAGTTCGCTTAGAGCGTAGAGGCCGCTAAGTGGGAGTACCACTCAGTGCATTTTGTAGCATGCTGCTTGCGTTTGACAATTTGGAAAAACCAATGTTTTGAAGCCTGCTTAGCGTGGATAACGCACTTAGCGCGATTTAGGTCGGTTTGATGTGTAAAATAAGCAAGTCCCGCTTAGTGCGCCAGGCCCGCTTAGCGCGGTCTGCTGAGATTTGTTTTATAACTTTCATTTTAGCTCATTTTTAGGGATGGTTTTGGGGAGGTTTTTGCTCCCAACTCCATCAACCTGTAAATTTTGTTAGGATTAGCTTAGATAACAACTATGGAGCTTGCATACGAATGATCGGGGATATATTTCTATTCGATCGATACTGACAAAACAGTAGATTTGCGGTTCATTTCTCTTTTTATTTGTGTATTCTCTATTGGTTGAGTTTGTATGTATATTTTCTTTGAACTGATGTATATTTGTCGCCCTTGGCGTTATATTAAACCTGCTTTACGAATTTTTGTGGATTGTTGTCTTGGATTTTTACTCTGTGTTAGGGATTTGATTTGTTATAGACATATAATGCTTAGATTCTTATCTAGGATGATTATTTGTTAGTTTCTGAACTCTAAAGATAGATTTAGAGCTGACATCTACTTGGGTATTAGAGTTTAATGCCTCTGTGTTGTTTATGTCGCTCTGAGAGATCGTCGATGCAAGCGAGCACAGTTGACTTATATGTTGTGAGGTGGTTGAGAGATCGCTACCGAGGTGATGCAGTCGGCCTCTCAATTTGGGTTAGAAATGACTTAGGTTATGAGTGATACGTAGTGACATTGATAAATATTGTAGGTTGAGTATAACAGGTCGATAAGTTTAATTCTATGAGAAGTAGTATATATGCATGCTTGTTAAGTTTTTCCTTTTTCCTTTTTATACTTTTATTTTCTGTATATTTTCTTTCAACCCATTTATCCCAAAACTCATTAACAAAAAATTTGTCGAACGACGAATCAATAACTAATCTATGTGGACACGATACAATATAACCTAAATATCACCTGGTAAATTAATAACTTACTTTTTGCTTGCCAATATACCATAGCAGCATCGACACATATAATGCATTTTTAAAGCCTATAGCTTTTGTAAGTATCAGGTCGACACATGCATCATTTCAGGTTGACACATACTGAATCTTTTCTAAAATTACAGAAATTCTTATTTTATGTGTCGACACATCCACTTTTCAGGTAGACACATTTGCTATCGTTTTGAAGCTTGTAGCTTATGTAACTTTTCGATCGACATATAGTTCTCTATATGCCGACACATTCGATTCAAAAATCATGTATGTGTCGACACATACGATCCTTAGATTGACACATACTGTTTTAGTTGGCCAATTTTTTTAATTCTTTTATTCCGAATTTATCCCTCTTTGCTCTAAAAGTTTCAAAACTATAAATACTCTTTCAAGCATCATTCCAACTGGTTGGAAACCATAAAATTAGCCTATTTCTCTCTTTATCTTCAAACTCCAATCTATGTATACACACTGATATTACATTGTAATGATGTTTCGTTGGGGTGTCATCTAGACAAGGATTATTAATGTCCAATTATGCATTGGGTGAAGTTTTGTAGGTATTTTCATCCAAAAAAACCTCAGGTTTGTCCTCCAAGATCATTGGTTGATTTGGGGTTTTTGTGAAAGACGTTTGAGAGGAAATTGGGGTAAAGTGAACAACCCCAGAGTGCTTAAAATCGTTACAATGAACCTTGGAGTGTTTGAAATATTTGCAAGGAAGTAACTTGAAGTACCTGATAGAATCGAAGTATTGTGTTGCAATAGTTTTAGATTGACGGTGCACGAAAGCTTTGGAGATAATGAATGCAAAGGAGTAGCAAGATCCAAATAGTCATTTCTCATCTATTGTGTCTTGGTATCTCTCAAGATCAAGGAAAGAGAAGGGTTAAATCAACAACAAGCTTGGGGTTTATGGAGTTGCTCTTGAATATTTCTCTTGTATCAACATTTTTGCATAGTAAGAATTATTGCAATTCCATTAGAATGAGGCGCAGACGTACCCACACGCGAGGACAACAGTGAGGAAATGTGAAGACAAATTCCCCGTGTCGCTTTTATTTTCTCTTTTACTTGCTTTGATTTTCATTGTTCGATTTATCAAATAGAATTGCATTATCATTTGAATTGTAAGATTTTTCCTAATCAATTTTGATCTTTAATTCAAGTTTTGATATAGCTTATAATTATCTTTGATTATAAGTGGTTTTGTGTATCAACAAAATCAAAGAAAATTTTCTGAAAATTCACTTGCACACCAAGTATTTGATAAATTGACTTAACTAGTTCTTTTAATATTACTATTGGAAATAGCCTTGTTAAGTGAAATTGATTAAACGGTAAATAAGTTGCAAAGCGATTCAAGATTATTAATTCACATTATCTTTTTTATTCCATATCATTTTTTTATTTACGGTCTGCATATCCGAGGTTCCCGATAACATTCGTATAGACGACAATTTAAAAAAGGACTTCTGTGTCGCACTTTAATAAAACTTTTTCAAAACTAAATTTTATTTGGATATTTTTAAAGGGGTATCTATTCATCCCCCTCTAGATATCGTTGTCTTTGTCTAACAAGTGGCATCAAGAGCCCGATTCGTTCTGGCTTCGACACTTTTTAGAAACTGGCTTACAAACTTAAAGGGAATTATAAAAGATCCCCAATTTTCATGGGAGAAAATTATAGTTATTCGAAATCTTGTATGCAAATTCATATCAACTCATATGACAAAGGTGTTTGGAAAGTCATTCTAAATGGTCCAACACTAATGACACATGTTGTTGATGGTGTTACCGTACCAAATCCGGAAAACTTGTGGGATGAGAAAGATGAGAAAAACTGGTCTTACGATTGGAAAGCAAAGAACATCATTATATCTGCACTCGGTATAGATGAGTTCTATCGTATTTCTCATTGTCAAGCCGCAAAAGTAATGTGGGACGCTTTACAAGTGACCTATGAGAGAACTAATGAGGACAAACAAGCTAGAATTAATACACTTAATCAAGAGTTTGAACTCTTTCACACGAAGCAAGGAAAAACCATTGTTCAAATGCAAAAGATGTTTTTTCATCTTATTAATCGTTTAAATTTACTAGGTAATCCTATTTCCAATGCTATTACTACTAACAAAGTGTTAAAATGTCTTGCTAACAATTGACAATCAAAGATCACCGCGATCAAAGAAGCTAATAACCTTACTACAACTCCTTTGAAAATTTTCGTAATAATGTATAAACCACTAAATAAAAATGGCATTATTCATCTTAAAGAAACGAGTGCCTCAAATATAATCTAACATCACGTTGTTTGATACCTTCTTCTGACAATTTATTCATTTATTTTCTACTTCTCTTATTTAGTTGATAAAAACATTGTCTTCTTTTTTCTTAATTGATATATTTTTAATATTTTTTATGAAAGATTCTTTATAATAAATTCCAGTTCCGTTTTAGCCTCATAATTTATTAAGTCGGCACTGCAATTATGGAACAAAGTTTAACAAAGTTTCTTCTTCAACATGATTACTAGAAGGAAATTATATTCATGGTTAAGAACTATCAATCAATTCTTGACTAAAATTTCACACTTGGAAAATAATCATATCATTGAGATTACCTCTATATTATTATCATTTTCTAATAGCTAGCATATATAGTTGGTGCACATAAAAAATCACGTTGTATGGAGCAAGAGTGTGGTATAGTATTTAGATTAGTCATTTCGTCTTAATCTCTTATACCTATATACCATACCGTTATATATCCATATGTAATGAAAATCCAACATCACTTTACTTCAAACTTTCTTCTATATAAATACACAATCTCCCCTTCTTTAGTTCCTTACCTCTCTACATAGCTTTTGCTATAAATATACACTTTCTCATCAAACAATATTCCAAATCTTTCAAAGTTCATCCATATACTAAATTTTTCTCCATATAATAAAAAAACACAAAGGGAGAAAATTAACTATAATGCCCCTCCTAAGACACAATCTCTTCTTCTCATTCACTATCATCATCATCATCATCATTTCATTTGTTGCTTGTAATAGCAACTTGCAAAAGGACCCACTTATTGCTATATACGTTGATAATTCACCCTCCAATGATGATGATGGCGGTGATACATTATTATTCAAAAACATGATCAAGAAAAATACAAATAGTTTTTTGAGCTTAAACAAGTTTGATGGAACTTCATCACATAAGTTAGAAATTGTTAATGTCAATGATTATGGTGCTAAAGGTGATGGTTATTCAGATGACACACAGGTACATATATATTTATATAAATAAAAAAATATTTTTCTAAATTTTTTGTCACTAAGTTAAATATTTATATGCTTGTATTAATTTGATTTTCTCATGATTAAAAAAATAATATTAATTTTCCTATAAATACTTAGGCATTCAAGAAGGCTTGGGAAGTAGTATGTTCTTCAAGAGAATCAGTTTTTGTGGCACCTGAAGATAATAATTATTTACTCAAACCAATTAGATTCTCTGGTCCTTGCAAATCTAACATAACAGTTCAGGTAAGTAAAATGATTATAAATTAAGGTAGTAATTATTTAATTAGTTTTCATTTTTTATTGTAAATTATAGTTAATTAATATCTTAAAGCGTGATTTTTACACTTAATTATTTTTCAGATATTTGGAAATCTTGAAGCATCAGATAAACTATCAGATTACAAGGATGATAAAAGACATTGGCTTATATTTGATAGTGTTCAAAAACTATTAGTTAATGGTGGTGGAACCATTAATGGAAAAGGAAACATATGGTGGAAAAACTCATGCAAAAGGAACAAAAAGAAAGTAAGAATAAAATATCATAATTAACACAATATTTTAATCAATTTTAATTCAAACTATGACAATTTTTTAATGTTTTTTCTCTATTTATGTAGCCTTGCAAGGATGCTCCAACGGTATGTATATATATTCTTCAACGACTATAACTTTATTGAATGGTTAAGAATTAGGGTTACAATTTTGTGCATCATGGAGAATACTAATTTGATTAAAGTACTTATTGATTAACTAACTATATTTTTGTAGGCTCTAACATTTTATAATTGCAAGGACTTGATAGTTCAAAATTTGAAGATAAAAAATGCACAACAAATTCATGTTTCATTCCAAGATTCGAATAATATTACAGTTTTTAGTCTCAACGTGTCATCACCTGAAGATAGTCCTAATACCGATGGGATTCATGTCACCAACACACAAAATATCAAAATATCTAGCTGCGTCATAGGAACAGGTTGGTAATCATAAATCGAATATCTAAAAAAATTCAAGGCAAAAAATCATCAAAATTAATAATTTTATTTATGTATATATATATCACCTAATTAATTAATTTGATTTTTCAAAATTTTTTAAGGTGATGATTGTATATCAATTGTACATGGATCTAGGAACGTAGAAGCCACAAATATAACTTGTGGACCTGGCCATGGCATCAGGTAATTAACTTTACGTAAACAATTTAGTTTGATTTTCTTTTGTAGTATTTTTTATATATGAATTTTATTTATTTCCAATAATTTATATATCTCAGTATTGGAAGTTTGGGTGCTGGAAAATCCAAAGAATTTGTTACTGGAGTAATAGTAAATGGATCTAAGATTTCTGGAACTAAAAATGGAGTTAGAATTAAGACATGGCCGGTAATTTTAACTTAATCTTCTGATTTTATATATATTTAATATAATATAATAATTCATGGAGTGATTTTATTATTTTTATTTTATTGCAAAAATCAATTTGTAAAATGCAGGGAGGTTCAGGAAATGCTAGCAATATAAAATTTCAGAACATTGAAATGGACAATGTGACCAACCCTATAATAATAGACCAAAATTACTGTGACAAGAAAAAAAAACCATGCAAAAAATCGGTAAATTAATTTTCACTACTCTTTCTACATATATATGTATGAATTTAGTACTTATTTTCGATGATTTTGCAGAACTCTGCGGTCCAAATTAGCGATGTGTTGTACGAGAATATAATAGGTACAAGTGCTTCTGATGTAGCGGTGAAGTTTGATTGCAGCAAGAAATTTCCATGCAAGGATATAGTAATGCAGAACATAGATTTGCAGTACGAAGAAGAAGGAGGAGAAGAAGGAGAAGGTGCTAAGGCTTTATGCGACAATGTTGATTTGAGCTACATAGGGCATGTTATGCCTCGTTGCTACTCATAAAAGGATACAAATAATTGAAGCCGCTGTACATTAACATCAATCATGGAAATATTCAATGTATATTATACATATAATATGATCCTATGTGTTGATACAATGTAAATTGATACCAATAGGACTATAATTTGTTGTGAATAGTGTTATTCTTTAATCATGATTGTAATAAATTGATGGTGCCACTAGTTGCATCCATAATTTATACAATAGTATATATATATATATATATATATATATATATATATATATATATATATATATATATATATATATATATATATATATATATATATATATATATACTCTCCAGTGCCAATTCAGAAAAGAGAAGAGTAGAATCAAAAGTGTTTACCTGATTAACTTTTAAGGAGAGGAAAATCGGAGATAGGGATGTAGATGATGATGAACGTGAAGGCCTCAAAATTTATAGATTACCATAAATGTAACATACTTTAAAGCATAAAATTAGTGGAGTACTAGAGTTTAAATGAAAGTTACAATATCCGTAACATGGTTATTAAACAAATAAGTAATTACAAATTAATCAACAATCCGTGGCCAAATGATATGCAATATTGTTAGATTAATTTTCACAAAAGCAAGTTTTTTGGGATAATTTAAAGAGTTAAATAAGTTTTTGGTTCCTTTAAATATCTTAAATTTTGTTTTTAGTTTCTCTAGAATTTTCTTTCAAAAAATGGTCTTCCTAAAAAATTAAATTTTAACTTTTGATCCCTCCTATAATTTAGCGACAGTTTTTATAACTTAGCGACCGTTTTAGCGACAGAATTAGAGACCATTTTAGCTACGATTTTGTCAAGAGGGACCAAAAGTTAAAATTTAATTTTTTAGGAGGACCATTCTTTGAAGGAAAAATTTAGAGGGACTAAAAACGAAATTTGAGATATTTAGAGGGACCAAAATTTTTTTTAACCCTAATTTAAATGAGTTGTTTCTTATAAGGGCAACTTCCACTTTCTTGTCTTATTGCATAGGTAGTTTTCGTTTCCTCTTGGGTATTCAAATAGGAGATAATCATAGAAGGATGACTACTTGATTGCCTATCCCTTTCATTGGAAATTATCTAAGTGGAAGAGTAGAAAGCTATCAATAGGTGGAAGATGTTAGATGTAATTCAAATTCAACATTTGGATTTAATTAGAATTTGAGTTTCATTTAGTTTGCGTTTGAATTTGAGTTGGAGTGTATAAACCGAAGCTTGTTCAGTTTTGTTGTAATGCAACTTTCATAATTGAGATTGAAAAGTTAGTTAGAAATTTTGTTACGTTTTCTCTCTCAGCATTCTTTCATCTTCATCTTCTTCAAGCTTCTTGTGCATCCATGGAGGTGTGAACTCCAACAATTGATATCTAGAGCTCCAATTCTAATTCATGGGAAATACGAGTGTACGTGAGGTATGTGATTGGTTTCATTCTTCAAATTCACACTGAACTGTAGATCAGAATCGAAGAGCGTTACATTTCTTGATTCTTAGGGATTGGGAAACACGAGTGTTGGTGAGAATTGAGTGATTTTCACAAGAGCGAAGATGAATGATCGAAATTCAAGCGTTAACACAAAGCTTCCAGTATTCGACGGAAAGAACCAGAATCGATGGTCGATTCAAATGCGTGTGTTGTTTGAAGCTAAAGATGTTCTTGATCTCGTCAATGACAATTACATGCCGGTTGCAAAAGATGCAACAAATATGCAAAGAAATGTGCAACATCAAACGATGAAGAAAGATCAAAATGTATTGTTCTATATCCAACAGTGTGCAGATACGAAGGTGTTTGTAAATATTATCGAGGCGACGACGGTGAAGGCGGCGTGGGATATACTAGTGTGGTGCTATGGTGGTGACTCATCATTGGAGAAGTGAAGATTCAGTTCCTACGCAAACAATATGAGAATCCCAACATAAAGGACAACGAGAAGACACATGATTTACTATTATAAAAAAGACATTTAACAACGGTTGGAAAAGATATATAATCATGCAGGTTCAGACGTTGTTATGTAGAGTGTTGTTGTAAATGTGTTACCTAAAATCACGATCCTGAGACCGTTGTAGTATACTAGAAAGCGTGTGTGATATTACAACTGTTAGTTATCTCAATAGTTGTGATAGACCTAAAGGTCTCAGGTCCGATTCTCAGCATCGATATTTTGGAATATAAATTACAATTTATCACGGTTATTATAGATAACTTACTTGTGGAAAGTACACATAGTTTATTATATAATATGTAGATTGCTTATTTTTCCATACATCTCATTACAAAAATACAACCATTCAAATTAATGAAGAAGTATATAATCTAAAAATTAAACTATTCTTGAAAACCAACTTAAACCAACCATTATTTTCTGAATTGCATATCTCTCATCATTCATTTTCTGCTCTTTAACAAAAAAATTAGTTCAATGGTATGATTCCTTCATTGCATCGATTCTTTCCATTCTAGTTTAACTTGAATAATATCAATTTATTGGCCAAATCTACCTTATCATTGTCGCTTATCATCGTGATTGTTATGATGATTTATCATCATAACAATCGTGATCATAACAATCATGATGATAAGCGACGAATATGAGGTAGACTTGGCCAATAAATTAATGTTATTAAAATTAAACTAGAATAGAAGATATCGATGTAATGAAGGAATCATGTCATTGAACCATATTCTAGATGTTAAAGAGTATGAAAAGAACGATGAGACACATACAATTTGGAAACCATTGATTAATATAGGTTAGTTTTCAAATACATCTTAATTTTCAGATTATAAGTTTCTATGTAAATTTAAATGAATGTATTTTCGTTAAAAGGTTATTGAAACAAACAATCTACATAGTATATAATAAACTAAATTTCATCTACTGTCAACCTGTATAAGAATTTAAAGAACAAAATATTGCTAAGTCACGAGAAGTCTCTTTCTTGTGACTTAGAAATGTTTTGTTCTTGTTTTGAGAATATTTATCAACAACAACAATATACAACAACACAACAAATGCATGCAACAAAATACAAAAAAACATAAATTTTAGCAATAAAACACTAACAACATACAATATCATAAGATATATAATCACGCAGGTCCAGGCGTTGTTATGTAGAGTGTTGTTTTAAATATGTTACTTAAAATCACGGTCCTGAGACCGTTGTGGTATACTAAAAAGCACGAGTGATATTACAACTGTTAGTTAACCTCAACAGTTGTGATAGACCTAAAGGCCATAGGTTTGATTCTCAGCATCGATATTTTGGAACATAAATTACAATTCATCACGGTTACTATAGATAACCGTTATGGAAAATATCCATAGTTTATTATATAATATGTAGATTGCTTATTTTTCCATACATATCTTTAAAGAAATACAATCATTAAAATTAATGAAGAAGTATATATCTGAAAATTAAACTATTCTTGAAAACCAGCTTAAATCCACCATTGTTAACAAATAAAATAGTTCAATGATATGATTCCTTCATTGCATCGATTCATTCAATTCTAGTTTAATTTGAATAATATCATTGAACCATATTCTATATGTTAAAGAGTATGAAAAGAACGATGAGACACATACAATTCGGAAAATATTGATTAATATAGGTTAGTTTTCAAATACATCTTAATTTTCAGATTATAAGTTTCTATGTAAATTTAAATGAATGTATTTCTACTAAAAGATCAGTGAAACAAACAATCTGCATAGCATATAATAAACTAAACTCCATCTACTGTCAACCTGTATAAGAATTTAAAGAACAAAACATTGTTAAGTCACAAGAAGCCTTTTTCTTGTGACTTAAAAATGTTTTATTCTTTTTTTGAGAATATTTGTCAACAACAACATACAACAACACAACAAATGCATGCAACAAAATAAAAAACATACATTTTAGCAACAAAATACTAACAGCATACAATATCACAAGATATATTAAATTGTTTCAAGAACACACCTTTTTTATTGAAAATAATTGTGGAACTGTAACAAATTATGAAGTTCATCTAGTTTTTGATGCTATGAAAAATAATACGAGATGGATGAAGTTTCCATGATAACTACATACTTATTTTATTTTTTTCCATAGCAACATAACCCATATGTACCATAGTCAAAGTATGCACTTTGTTAAGGTGGTTATGACGAATATGAAAAAATGAGAGCATTCAATACCTTATCAATTCATACTAATACGCTTGCTACCACCATCATCACCATGTATCATCACCTTAACCATCCAACACCATAATCTACAGGGAAACACAATAAACTTCAACCATGATCGTAATATGGTAGGAGAACTGACTTTTGGGTTTTGCGTTTTATCGCATATGTTGTAGATAGAAAGAGTCGCCACCGACTTTTCTTTTATCCAATAAAGGAAAGGGTGAAAAGAACAGAAAATACCTTTGAGAATTTTATGAGTTCGGGGGGTAGGTTATGAAAAGGGAAGATATTAGCAACTTTTTCATCTGTAGTTATCTACGGGTCTTAATTGCTAGCTCACTTTTGAAATGCTTTGTGTTTGTGTATGTTTGAAAATATTTTGAAAATGCCTAAGTGCGAAAATTTTGTAATGATTCTCGTATCATTGAGAATGTATACAAAAGGTTTGTTTTGAAAATATTTATTGGATGAAAGTGTTTGTTTTGTAGAAAGATGTTTTGAAAATTCCAATGTAAGACAATTTGCTTTATAATAACCCTTGTATCAGTCCTCAAGAGTGTTTATAAAGCATTTTGAAAGTATTTATTTTAAAAGTGTGAGGTGTGAAGATTGTACGATTATGAGTGATCTACCTACTCAAAAAGTCTTTGTTCTTTTCCTCCTCCTTTAGATAGTGCTAACCTACCATTAGTTAATAGGGAACCCTATCATTAGATGTGAGGGACATGCGTGGTCATCGTACAGTCATAGAAGGAAACTTGCAGGATGTTTTAGAAATTATCGTAAGGGACTAAGATCGTTTACCGAAGTCA